TTTGTAAGAAAAACATTACTGTTCATCCAAAATAGTGTGTGTGTGTGTGTGTGTGTGTGTGAGAGAGAGAGAGAGAGAGAGAGAGAGAGAGAGAGAGAGAGACATTAACCTCATTCTAGAAGCCAAAACACCACCTGTGATGTTCTGTGAAATTACATCTTACAAAATGAAGCTGTGGGTGCTACAAATTAAGGAGCAGGGGACTGTCTCCCCAAAAATGGCTACCTGAGGAACATGTGAGGATGGAGATTCCCCCTCCTCACCATTCCATGTACTGGCACAAAATTTTACTTCAGCATTGGTTAGCATCCTTCTCTGTACCCGACGGCAGAAAGCTAGGTTAGTGGTTGTAGGACAAGTTCTGTGGCACACATAATTCCCAATCTCCCACAAAGGGGATGGATCAGGGAGCTCTGGAAGAATGGCCAGAGAGACTGCAGCTGCTCACCCCCCAATATGCCAACCTGAGACAATATATGTCAACCTGAGGCGAATGCTTCACTGTCTCATGGCAGGGCCAAGCTCACACAAGAGTGGTGTGAGGAAGGAGATTTTTAATCATCTCCCCTCATCCTGTTTTCAGATAAAATAGCCCCCATCTGCTTCACATCCTGCATAGGAAAAGAGATGAGTTTCCTTAGGTTTTCCTTGAAGGGCAAAAACAGTTGAGGCGGGGGGCACACACAGACACACACCCACATACAATTTTTAAAGGGGAAAAATGAGTGATGTCCCTTTCCTCTGCTTTAGCTTGAAGCTTGCCCCGGTATATATTGTAAAACAAAATGAACAGAGACAAACCACACACAAGACTGCATCGCATTAGTGTGGCCCAGCAGTTGTTCATCACCTTTGCCATAAACAGCATCAATTTTAAGAAACCGACATCTAATTTTAGCCGCTACCACAGAAAACAAATGTCAGTAGGATCAAATAATTAAGACCCAGAAAAAGCAGAGGCTCCCCACACAAGGCTTTTCTTTTTCACTTGCTGTACCTTCCAATCATCTTACCATCAAATCCCATCATACATAAGAGATCACTCCGTACATTCCTTTTTAACTATAGCTTTTTCAGCTGTTTCCTTGGCTTCTGCCAAGGCTGAGCGACTGCCACACATATGCTGTCTTCCATGTGCAACGACGAAAATAGCAACCAGAACATCTATGCAAGCACAATAGAAGGACTAATAGTACAAGTATATTTTGTGTGTGTGTGTGTGTGTGTGTGTGTGTGTGTATAAAATTCTCCAAGGCTGAACCAGCAGCAATTCAGGAAGATCACACTCTCACAGGCTGTGTTCTGCAGGTTTAATTTCACCAGCTCATATTCCAACTAGGAAATTTGCAGGCATCAGGGGTACTTTGGCTGCTGTGGTTCACTTTAAAACAAGCTGAAACGGATGCAGCTCAATTCTCCTGTTGCCGAGGGGGCAACTGTCGGCATCAGGCAGGAAATCTGGCCCCAAGCGGTTGGGTTTCCGAGTTTGTGGGGAGGTGACCATCAGTCTGAAGGGGCCAAGAGGTGAAAAACACTGTCCAGGACAAGCAAGGGTCAACTTCTCTAAGCAGCAGCCAAAGATCAGAAGCAGGAAGCGTAGTCCAGGGCATACAGGCCAAATTCCTTTAGCAAGAATGTGGGAGGAATAGAAGAACAGGATCTTATATCGGCAGGATCCTCTCACGGGGAAAATGTTGCTCGGCCTGAGGGCCAGGAGTCAGAACTGGTTCCAGATTCGAGAGGGCAAACAGCACACGATTCCTCAAAACTATGCTACAACACCAGCATTAAACAGCAGCTAGATTCAACTCCCTGTTGCTGCTCAGATCACGAGGCCGGGGTGAGGGAAGAATGGAAGTTGGGGCACCAAGGACATTGGCCACCTCTGCTGGAGTCCAGGCAGCTGCCCAAGGGTGCCTGGTAACCATCTCGGGTATAGAGAGACTGGTCCTTGGAGTGATCTCACTCTGTCAGGTGGCAGGGTTGGCACTGCAGCCAAGGTGGTACCATGGAAGAGCTCAGTCTCCAAAGCTTGAAGCAAATCCACAGTCACATGCTGGTGGCCCAGAAGGAAAGGCACTAAATCTTGATTGTTGGGGAACACAGTTTAGTAAAAAAAACCCAACCCTGCATAAACGCTCCTCAGGAATTACAGCAGTGCCGCTTCACACAGAAACAATGACAATGTTGGTGTCTGGTGGGCTTCCCTCTAGAAAGCATTCTGTCACTACTATCCTCTGGGCCTCCTTTGGAGGTGGCACACGGAAATGGACCTAGTGTCAAAACTAGCACTTTGAAATGGGACTTTGAACAAATAAGATTATGTAAATGTTGCCTTTGCGGATCCATACATAACAAGCAATTTCCCCATCTAACTCAGGGGTAGGCAACCTAAGGCCCGGGGGCCGGATGTGGCCCAATCGCCTTCTCAATCCGGCCCGCGGACAGTCTGGGAATCAGCATGTTTTTACATGAGTAGAATGTGTCTTTTTATTTAAAATGCATCTCTGGGTTATTTGTGGGGCATAGGAATTTGTTCATATATTTTTTTTCAAAATATAGTCTGGCCCACCACACGGTCTGAGGGACAGTGGACCGGCCCACAGCTGAAAAAGGATGCTGACCCCTGATCTAACTTGTGGCTCTGCAGGTGAGATGCTGAAAAGATAGTGACCAGTAAACCCTGAGATGCATGCTAGCATTAAATCACACTCCTGGATCAAAAGCTGAATGGCTAGAAGAACAGCACTTTTTCAGATATTTGCCTGACGTGTTTTCCTTTTTATGTTCATTTGTCCAACTCTGTCACCAAAATAAAGAGCAGTTATTGTGAATGCCTATGATGCGCTCTACTTCGCAATGTGTTTCTATGAATTTATGCATGTGCGTTGTAAAATTAATTGAACGTTCTCAAATGTAAGCCCTACTCTGATCAGCCACAGTACTAAAAATATCTCAGCTAGCACATTTCTAGACTGTCACCAGTAACCCCCCTCACCTGACAAAACCCAGGCCTCTGCAAGTTGAAGAAATTAAAAACATGCACTTAAATATATATTTAGCTGATTGTCTGCCACCTACTTAGCAAGCTTGCTTTAAAGTGTGTTTAAAAGAAAAAACTTGTTGAAAACACTCCTGTAGTAAGTCGCATCTCCCGTCACAAACTTCTAGCTTATTATCACCCGATCCATGTTCATCTCTCTCACTTTCTAGAGGAGGGATCAGCAAGGTTTATCTTGCCTGGGCCAGATCGGTCCTACAGAGATCCCTCCGTGGGCTGGATTGTGCGTGCGCGTGAGCGTGAGCGTGCATGCCTGCGATTTTTGGCGTCTGCGTCTGTGCAGGTGTGATTTTTGGCATCTGCGCATGCGCAGACGCAATTTCTGGCACCGTGGAAGCGAGTCCCCACGCCGCGCTGTGCCGGTTTGCGTGTTCAGACCCATAAACCTCCCCCCTAAATAAATTCACACTTGACTCAAATTTTTGGTTTGGTTTTTGGCAGAATTTAGGCCACAACTTTATTGATTACAGAAAGTGACTGGTTGCATAAGCTCTGGTTCGACTAGCTCCCTGCCATGCAGGTAGCGCTGACCCACGGCACCAGCATAGGTCAGCCAAGGGTGAACACCTGGATAAGCGGAAAGCCGGGAATGGGCTAAGTCCGCCACCCAAATGTCCCCCTGGACTCAGGCACAGGCAGAACCCCTCACAGGGGTTGACCAAACCATTGAGTCCCTGGATTCCTTTAACGGAATCCCCTTCACATAGGGGTCGCGAGAGCGTTCTCCCATCCCTATCACCCGAACCAGAGCCTATCTGCAACCTTACAAGTTGTGACGATTTGCTACACGGCAGGCGAAACCCAAATGGCAACAGTCAATCAGCCAAGTGGGAAAATTCCTGCCATGCCCCTGTCCCAACAACAGACGACACACGACGGCATAGCAAGGTCAAGCGCAACAAGCCCTAAAAGTAGGGAGAGGTGGGCGGTGTTCCGAATGCATGCGCAGAAAGAGGAAGCTCTGGGTCACGTGCATGGGCATAAATAGGTCCCTCGAACCTGCTTCGAAGGACCTACCAATCGGGTGTTGTGGCTTACCAGTTGTACCCAACCCACAACACAGGGTGTTGGTTGTCCAGGTCTCACCGCAATACGTGCCCTCTTTAAGGGAGGACGCAATTTAGCGCAGCATGTGAGTGAGCAGCTCGGTTTCGGGGCAGCTTGTGGGCCGGCCAAACGACCTCTGTGGGCTGCTTCTGGTCCACGGGCCTTAGGTTGCTGACCCCTGTTCTAGAGAGTATTATTCTCTCCCCCCCCCTCCCAATTGTCTTCCAAATCAATGTACAGGTGGAATGAGAAACTCAATTATTTGGGCAAATATCGGGAAAAGAAAGGGCTTAGAATGCTACAGAAGTATGCTTAACCGCTAAACTGGAATTTCACATCTTATGGGAAAGGGAGAATAACTATGCACACCTGCCATATTAGAGACAGGGAATGTGATTTAGCTGTTACTGAACTGCACCACTTCAGACTGCCTGTGGGGAATCCAACTTTTGAACGCCCTGGCATGTTGGGGCAAAGGAGGAAACAACTCTGCATGAATTGCAAACAAAAACTAGCATACTAGGGAGGGAGAAGCATATACCAGAACACATCTCCTTGCCATGCTGATTTTGGCATGTGGGTGGAAACATTTTATGCAAGGGAAATTTCTGAACATTTCATTCCTCACTTGCAGTCTGAAGTGGTGCAGTTCAGCAGCAGAAACTGCACATGGGATAGTCGATTATGTATAACAAACAGATAACTTTTGAGGGGTGTAGCTCTGTGGTGGAACGCACAGCGGTGGTCCGATGTTCAGTCTTGGGCATCTCCAGTTTAGGCTGGGAAGGACTCCGTCTGAAATCCTGTCAAGCGTATGTGGAGAAGAAGCCCTGGGGCTTTGTGGCATTTTTGTAAAGGTTGGACAACAGAGAGAAAGCTAGCAAGTAAGCAAGCTAGATGGATAGCTCAGTCGGTAGACCATGAGACTTTTAATCTCAGGGATGTGTGTTCAAGCCCCACTTTGGGCAAAAGATTCCTGCATTGCAGTGCGTTGGAATAAATGAACTTTGTGGTCCTTTCCAGCTCTACTGTTTTATGATTCTATGATTCAAAAACTGTTTCCTTTACTAACCAGATGGGTGGGATAGGTATGGCATCCCTTACTGGCTTTGATTTCCTTTAAGTCAGCATTCATAGTTCATGGCCAAAACATGTCAAAGTTAAAGGTAAGTTTTAGCAGCAAGACAACACAGCACTCTTTCCCTCTTTCTTTCTTTCTCTCTCTCACTTCACAATCTGTCCTTTTATTCCTCAGCAACAGCAATAACGACGCATCTACTTGGCACCTCCTGTCTAAACAACATGTTTTGATTTTTTTTACCACTCATTTTAAAGAGAAAATCAAAACCAACTGTTAAGCTTGTCCTTCCTAGGCCTAAGGAACCATCAATTTTAGCCAATTTCAGCAAACGTGAGAGCAGCGATGATGGGCTGAAGTGGATGACAATGCTGGAAAAAGACAAGTCTTTTGGGGCAAGCTGCTTGGAACTGTTGCTGGATCACAGATACAGTAGTTATGTGAGAAATTGGCATCTTGGGGGATAAAAACCTGATGAGGTTAAAGTAAACATCATATGTGTGAAGATGCTAAAGATAATGACAATGGCATCTTACCAACTGTGGAACCATAACATCACCAGAGAAAATATAATTTTTATTATTTATTTATGGATCGCCTTTTACATTCCTCTCAAGGCGATTTACAAACATATATTAAGGCTATAATTATTTTTTAAATGCTACTGAAAACAGGCACCAAAAGATAGGTTTAAAAATAGTACCAATGCTGGGGCTAATACATTTTCATTCAGCTGGGAAAGTCTGTCAAAACAAAAATACCTTCAGTTATTTCAACAAAGTATGGATAGGCAGAGGTGCCATCTTTTTAAGAGGATTGACAAGGCCCATATGTGACGCCATGCAATGTCATGCGTGAGATGTCAATTGGTGCACCTGTGGCTAGGGAGTGCCTTCTGTATCTCAACAGAGAATGTAAGTAATGAAAGGGTTGTAAAGGAGAAAAAATGCTGGTTCTGTTCCCGATTGGAATAAAGGATGTTCATTCAGAGACTCCTTTCATTGCTCTCTTCTGCCTTCTTCTTGCACTCTCATCCAGCTGAGGACACAATATCTGTGGCCTACTGCTCTGGCTTGGCAACCATTTATTCCAAAATTTTAGGGTATGTGTGACTTGTTTTTGTCTGGTCACCTTGAAAGGGCAGACTCCAGCTACAATGGCTGCATCTCTTGCTCGGGAAAGTGGGAGGTTTGATGCTGGCGTCAAGTTTTAGTTGTGGATATGCATTACTTTTGCTTCTTTCTGAGTGACATGGTGTGTTTATTGTTAGACCTTATTATGAATTACCAGTGGATTGTTTAATTATATGGTATATAATTAATATGAGGTATTTTCATTGCTCTATTGTTCATGACTCATATTGCTACATTTTGTTATTGTTGTGAGTCGCCTTGAGCATGGTTTACTATGGAAAGCTGGGATACAAATGAATGAGCCAGCTGTGTTACAAAACGTGCAAATTAGTATATGGTGCAAAACTTAGAAATTATGTTTGATAATTAGGTGGACTGAAGAGGCCAAATCTTTGGTTAGGATAGGAGCAAGCAATACTAAACTCTGACTGATTGTTGCTAATCTTGCACCATTCTTAATCTACATTATTATCTAAGCACTTCATTGCTACAGTACATCTCCCCCTTTACATTGCTTTTCTTTTTTGCAAAGCTAATAATACTCTGTATGAATATTGTTCTCTGAAAAGCACTGTCTATCATCAATGATTGATTTGCTTCAGTTACAACCTTGAGTCTTTTATCGCTGGTTCTGCCTTGCTCCCTGACCCGCTGGGTTGCTAAAGTGCAAATGTGAACCTTGATTACATCACCAAATTAACACCAATTACAAGACACAGAGGATGAAAAGAATGCTGAGGAGAGAGTTATGGCTGGATAACAGAACAGCTTAAGGGGGTTGTGATAAGCCGCATAAGTAGAATCAGCTCCAGAAATAACATCAGTTAACAGACTTCCATGCCAACTTGCGGCTGCTGAAGGCAGCTCCATACATTACAACTGCCAAGGGAAACACCGACATTTCATCAGTATTTCCCGCACAGCAAATGTGTAACTACACAACCTATAGAAAACATCTGAAGGCAGCCCTGTATCAGGAATTTTTTATTATGCTTTTGTATTTGTTGGAAGCCGCCCAGCGTGGCTGGGGCAACCCAATCAGATGGGTGATATATAAATAATAAAATTATTATTATTATTATTATTATTGATGATGATGATGATGACAACCCCTAGCCAGTAGCAGAGGCAAGCTTTCATGCACCCAGCACCTGTTCATGGTTCTAAGGCAGGAAAGACAACAGAAGTGCAGTTGATCATCTTTGTGGCCACAGCCTGAACGGCGATTCAACCCCCCAGGAGGGCATGGAGAAAGAGTAAGAATGCATGCTTCTGTTAGCCTTCACCAGTTCTAAGCTGTGTGTTTTGGTGGGCGAGTGTGTGAGCAAATATGCTTCAGTTTATTCTTGACAGCATGTTATGTTTCAAAGATGCAGCATGAAGACAAGGCTACCCAACAGGGGTGCCAACTTGAATAAAATATTGTGGGGATCCAGGTAAGCCCTGCCCCACATAACTGATCACATGATGCAGTGCACATGCACCATTTGAATGGGAATGCTTATCAACTTTGTGGGGGCTCAGCCCCCTCAAATATTTTATTGTGGGAGCCAAAGCCCCCATAGCCTCTAGGAGTTGGCTTCTATGCCACCAAAAGATGTTTTGACCTCTGAACGGAGCCCATGTCGAATTTAGTAACACCTTTGCTTTGCTTCCAATACCTCTTTCCCCCCTTCTGCTGCTTCCTTTTTTTCATTTAAGGAATTTAATTGACAGCCTCTCTGCCTGAAGGCAGCCGAGGCACGATGCAACATTAAAAACCAACAGTACAATTCGGGGAGGCAATAAAATTACAGAAGCCTAATAAAGCCTAATGTTACAATATAATTTTAAGAATAGCATCAGCAATACAGAAAATCTATACGGCAACAAAATGCAACAGGAAATGTTTCCACCAGCCAGCACTTCAACAAGTGTGTGTGCATAGTGGAGAGAGGAAATACACAATCCAATGCAGTAAGGTTCTCATATCAACCCTTTCCTGATCAAATTTCTCACTTGCAAATATGGTTGCTACAAGCAAGCATGATTTCTTTTCCTCTAAACCACCCACAGCCAGGCTAAGCAAACATAATTCAGAGTAAAAAATACTACAATACTGCAAAGCATTATTTATAGCTCTCTGTTCACTAGTGCTGCAGTGCTAAGACCTTCATTGCTACTTTGAATGCAGTAAGATCGTAGGAGAAGAAACAGGATGTTCAGTTTCCACAACTGAAAAATGCAGCAGAGAAACAAAATCCCAAATCATGCAAAACTGACTACTTGTCCCTCTTTCTATTTTTATTTTTTAAAGCAGGCCAAGTTTTGGTTACATGTAACTGAAATAATAGGAAATTTCATGTACAACAGAATTGTTTATACAGGCTAACCTTATGGTTATGCAGGTAAGTTTCTAAACCTATTTTGTTTGAAAGAAATTATAGTACAATCCTATGCAAGTCTGCTCAGACATAAAGCCTGTTGAGTTTACAGTAGATTGATCCAAGGTAAGCAAGAACAGGACTGCAACCTTAAGAGGTCTTTGTTAACAAATGTGGCACTCACAATACTGACGCTGAAAAAAGCTTCAAAAGCAAAGCAAATTGGGTTTTCCCTTTAGCTGCCCAAAGTGAATCACCCATACCTTTCCCAATCAGATATTTGCAGGAAGAACAAATTATTTCCTTTGCAATAATGTCATCCAATGTCACTTTAGGCTCCTAAACAAGTGACAGGTGAAATATGGTATACACAGTCCAACTCAGAAGAAGAAAGGTGGTGGTGGGGCAGGGAAGGGAGAAACCCTGAAGAAATGAATGCAAGCTGGTCAACAAAAGGATTCCTTATTCCTTCCAGGAGAAAGGCTTAAGAACAAGAGAGAATTGGACAGATTCTACTAACTATGAAGGCTACCTCCACTGTTGGAGGCAATATCCCTCTAAATAACAGCTGCTGGAAACCGCAGGAGGGAAGAGTGGTGTTGCACTTAGGTCCTGCTTGCGGGAACCCCGTAAGCATCCAGTCGGCCACTGGGAGAGCAAGATATTGGACTAGATGGGGCCAGTGGCTCTTCTCACATTCTTATCTTCATTGTGCAGCTAAACGTCCTTATGCTAGTGGAATTGTTTAGATGTGCTTCACCTCCTTTCATAATCTCACATTAGTGTGTGTATGTGTGTATTGTTGCCTGTATTTTTAAACTCTGTTTCAAAATAAAAGTAAAATCCCACGGAACCAAGAGACCCGTGAAATCCCGCGTCCACATGTGGTTATGTTGTCTGAGTAACATAGCTCTGTGGGATATTATCAAGGAGAAGCATCTTTAAGAAGCTCTAATTCTTCATCTAACCAGCCCTATCATGTTTGACCTCATTCACTCTTTATAACGAAACCTGCTGTGAGCAGGTTTATGCAATTTATTTTTCAATTTGTAATTAAGCTCCTACAGTCCCGGCAACAATTCAGTAATTATATTCAGACTAAGCAGAATGAATAAATCCCATTGCCATTTTTATTCTCTCTCTCTATTACAAATATCCATCCAATCTTCACTTACAAATCCAAGTAGCACATCTAATGTACCTAAGTTTTCAGTACGATGTGCAGTTTGGGTTGCTCAACCACAGAAAGATTACGTTTATGGGTCATGAAGATGGAGCATAGCTTTATAAAAGCTCATAAAATTAACAGTCTGGAGGACAAAGGAGAAAATATTTTCCATCTCAAATTAGTAGATCTCAGGGTCATCAAATGACATTTGCAATAGGTTCACAAC